TTGCCTTCTGCCTTCTCACACTGCCCAGAGGCCCGGAGTGGCTGGGACAGGGTGGGGCAGAACACCTGCGTTGTTGCCATGGCGATGACACAGGCATCCCGCTCAGGATCAAGCAGTGATGAAACAGGCAGCCCTTCTTGATTCCTTGTTAACCTCAGAGATTATCACCTTTTTCATTTTTTTATCAGTATAAATTGAATGTTCATGGTCAATTTGCATATTCTGTCTTTATTAGATAAGATGGTATTTGAACGATAATATAGGTATTGAATATGTCCCTTGTGTTTGGTGCTGAAACAACTCTGTATCTAATCCCCCCCCACAACCTGGGTGATAGGTACTACTTGTACAGAAGAGGAAACTGAGGCTCAAGGAGGGTAAACAGGAAGTGGGACGACTGGGATTTGAACCCACACACGCTGAAGTTAGAGGGCATATTTTAACTATCATGCTATCCTACCCTCCAGGAAATAAGCATGGATAGACATTTCATGTGGCCAAGTTCGTGCAAGAATAGGCCTTCCTTCCCCTGGCTGCCAGCACCACCTTCGCTCCGGCCCGGAGCTGCCTTCTGCCTTAGCTCGCCACCCAGAGGCCTGGAGCAATGAATGATGTTTGTGTGAGTTCCCCGCTCTCTTAAGGATACTACACTCAGAAAGCTTCATCAATTGCTTGCAATTTTGCCTGCTCCTCATAAACCCTCAAAAGGAAGTCTCATGAGGTCACCAGAGCAAGTGGCAGATGTGATGCTCCTGAAAACTCTTTTTGTGCCTGAGTTCTCCCCAGAGAGGGCCTTGCTCCTCTAGCCACAGGGCAATAAGAGGAATAAAAACTGGGTGGGGCAGAACACCTGCGTTGTTGCCATCTTTGTCACATCAATTTGCATATTCCCTCCTTATTGGCTGTGGGCGCCACCATCTTTGTTGCAAAGTGATAGTCAATTTGCATATTCTGTCTTTATTAGATAGGATGGTATTTGAACGATAATATAGCTATTGAATATGTCCCTGTGTTTGGTGCTGAAACAACTCTGTATCTAATCCCCCCCACAACCTGGGTGGTAGGTACTACTTGTACAGAAGAGGAAACTGAGGTTACACAGGAAGTAGAACGACTGGGATTTGAACCCACACACGCTGAAGTTAGAGGGCATATTTTAACTATCATGCTATCCTACCCTCCAGGAAATAAGCATGGATAGACATTTCATGTGGCCAAGTCTGACCTTGATGACTTGCTTTTGCTCTTTTAATCCCCATCCAACTCCTTCTTGGGAAATGAATGATGTTTGTGTGAGTTCCCCGCTCTCTTAAGAATACTACACTCAGAAATTGCTTGCAATTTTGCCTCCTCCTCATAAACCCTCAAAAGCAAGCCTCATGAGCTCACCAGAGCAAGTGGCAGATGTGATGCTCCTGAAAACTCTTTTTGTGCCTGATTTCTCCACAGAGAGGGCCTTGCTCCTCTAGCCACAGGGCGATAAGAGGAATAAAAACTCAGCTAAGGCTGCCTCCACTGATTTTCCTTCAGTATTTATTTGCTTCTTTATTTGCACCTCTTCCAGAAAAGATTAGAGGTAGAATTTCCCATCAAAGATAACCAACAAAATATCTAGATGGGAAAAAAATTATACACACACACACACACACACACACACGCGCGCGCGCGCGCGCGCGCACACATACTAGTATATGCCTGCAGTGCCCACAGAATAAAGAGGATATCAAGGTTTCCTGGTCTTCTCCAACAGAAGAGGCTTCCAGAAGGGGGCGCTGTGGAACACCTCTGACACATGGTGTAGGTCTCACACCAAGGCCCGTGCACAGAAACACTTTCTCCATTTTTTTATCTGCTCCTCTAAAGGAAGGGAGGACCCAAGGAAAGAGGAGGGAGGGAAGGAAGGAAAAGAGACCTCCTCTTCATTGTCATTTCTTGTTAGGAAGCAAATTCTTCCACATCAATTCTGAACCAATTGCCCTGCTGAGAACAAAGAGAACTAAGCATGTCATGGCTGCGTTTGGGATGGCTGGCTCTGTAGGACTGAGAGCAGGGGCTGCACACAGGCCATGGGTTCTGTCTGTGGTTCAAGAAGGGCTGTCATGGCAACAGTCAATGTCAAGTGTCTGGGGCTCCCCAGATTCACGTGGCTAATATTTCCTGTGTTCTGAGCTAGGTGTGGAAGCATAGAAAATAAACATCACAAAGCCTGACTTTAAAGAGTTCCCAGTTACTGGGAGAGGCAGGCACACAATGGATATCCTATAGGATCCATTAACACTTTCTACCACTATCTAGGGAGCATCTATTCTGTGCCAGGTATTGTGCACCATGACAGAGATTCAGAATGACCATGAAGCTTGGAGTCTAATGTCATAGTCTACTGTTTAGGATGCTGAGAGAGCACAGGGGAGAGTTTCTACCCAGACTTGGAAAAATCCTGAAAAGTTGTGTGGAGATGCCAGGACAGAGGGGGTAGAAAGGAAGCTCCATGCAGAAGGAAGAGCATGATCAAATGCATGATGGCATGAAAACATTTTATACATAGGACACTACAAGGCTGGGTGTGTGTGTCCATCCTTCAGTGGTTGGTCCTTAAGATTGAACTTGGAGCCCCTGGAGCATGGGCTATAGCAGTTCCATAGGAAGGTGATGGGCCAGTCCAGGCACAGCTCCTGGAGGCTATGAGGAAAACTGTGTAACTGGGTATATCTTCTTTTATATATAGTCACCCTCATTCAAATGTCCTCCCATGGCAAGTTCCCTGGAGATGAATCTCACGCCCCTGGTGTGCAATCTCTGCTCATGGTGTGCTCTGATAAATCCTTTAAAGAGCAGCTTGTTCAATTGGGGGTGAGGTGAGGGGGGGAGAGGAACATTTGTAATACCTTCAATGATAAAGATACATTTTTTATTTTATTTTTTAAAATATATTTTATTGATTTTTTACAGAGAGGAAGGGAGAGGGATAGAGAGTTAGAAACATCGAACACCTCTTACTGGGGATGTGCCTGCAACCAAAGTTCATGCCCTTGACAGGAATCAAACCTTGGACCTTTCAGTCTGCGGGCCGACGCTCTATCCACTGAGCCAAACCTGTTAGGGCAAGATACATTTTTGTAAAAAGAAAAAAAGAGCAACTGGTTAATGTGGGGGTTCAGTTATTGAGCATGTGGTGAGGTTGCCGTGCAGGGAGATATGCTCCCCCCGCCCCACATGGACCAAACATCTCCTTTCTTCTCTCAAACATCAGTCAGGGCCCTACTGCAGGCCAGGCTCACATTGTCCTACTTGGTCATCACTCAACTCTGTAGGGTCAACGCAGTAGCCCCTAGTTTATCAATGAGGTGCCTGAGGCTTGGAGACGTTCACTAACCTGCCCAAGGTCTTTCTGTCCTGATAGAGTCAAGCCGAGATCATAGCTACGTCTGCTTCACACATGCTTCTCTGGGGCTCTCTACACATGCATCCTTGGCATTCAGGCCTCAGCTCAGACGGGAACTCTCTTGATCTAAAGAGGCCCCCTCTGCCACCGCTTTTCCTTTCATAGCACTAATCCTCTCTGCTAGGACAGCCCCAGCTTCTTCATCATCTGCCTCTCTCCCCCAACTCCATGAGGCCAGGACCTCTCTGGACTCCTTTACTGCTCTATCCGAGATGCTCCAAGCAGAGCTCCAAGGAAACCCCCAACCACTGGTTGCTTCGTGAACAAAGCCATCTGGCTGGCCCCTAAGCCCAGCCCTTTCCACTGTACTGGTGTAGCTCATACTGGTGGCCAGTGGCCCACTGGGAGCTTGTGAGGAGCCCCCTGGTGACTGCAGACTGACTCTCTGAGTCGAGGACTTTCTGGGCTTCTCATGGGTCAGGGCAAGCAATTGCATAGATTTTCATTTCTACTTCAATAAAAGGACTGTCCAGCAACATTCTTTGTGACAAACATTTGAGATTCATAAATGAATAGATTTCATAAGTTATGTTTCTGGATGATTCAGACTCACTCTTCTTTCTACCCTCGAGTCAGCCTTAGGGTCGCACCGACCTCTCGGACGCACATCCTTGCAGAGCGTAGGATGCTCACTGTTGTCAGCAAGCATTGGTACCGGTCGCTGTGAATGTTGCTCTGCATGGGCTCTGACTTTCAGTCACTGGTATTGCTGTTTCAATCAGTTCATGTGTTCACTCACTCTTAGTGTTTATGTTGGTTGATTGCTGTGTTTCGTGTGGTGCCACCTTAATTGTGATTTTATTCCTCTCAACGCTTTCTTGTCCCCAGATTATTTTTTTCCACTAAAAAACAGTGAGGACCATCAGCCCTATGAAAGTGGGTCACAGTCCCATGTGTTTGGGAAAGAATCCTTGTACCCCACCTCAGGACCTCGCGTGATTCGTGAACCACCATTTTTTGTTTGTTTATGACAAGACATGTGCGTTCCTAAAAATCGACACACTAGGGAAAATGAGGAAATTGGGTGAGGGGCACAACCCTCAGAAACATCATCAGTGACGCATAACAAGGAGTGAAAGGAAAAACATTAGCACAGTTTTACACGGCTTCATGGCTAAGAAACAGGTGCTACAGTACATACGGCACTTTGCCTGGAAGAGGCCTGGCCTTTGCTCGTGGAGGTGGCCGTAGGAAGGGTTGCGGCTTGTGCGTTACTGTGAACGGGTGGGAGGAGGGTGGTCTGAACAGGATGGAAAGTTGTAGTCACAGGTGCAGTGGGTGCAGCTCCTAACAAGGTGGACCGAGGAGCTGGTAGATGTTGGAGGTGTGCACGTGTTGTACATTCCTGAATGGCTCACTTCAGCTGGGCACAGTTTCCTGCAGTCGCCCAGTATTTCTCAGTGAGACAGTTTTGCGTAAGCAAATGGGAAATTCCTGTCATCCTCAAATGATTCCCTCATATGTGAGTTGTGTTGGAACAAATTCACGTATTGAAAACAAGTGTCCTAGCAGAACCAGCTGTACCCGATTGACTTTCCTCCTCCCCTTGTTTATTCAGACTGGACCAAGAGGATCGAGTACCAGCCTGGCTCGGGGAGCGTGCCCCTGTTCCCCAGCATCCACCTGGAGACATGCGATGGAGCCGTGTCCTCCATCCAGATCACCACGGAGCTGCAGACCAATTACATTGGGAAGGGTTGTGACCGGGAGACCTACTCAGAGAAATCCCTTCAGAAACTATGTGGTAGGTTTTCCCCTGTGGGGGATTTCTTTAATTAATTGCTTTTAAATGATATATACAAAGCATATCTGATTATATTATGAGAGTATCAGCCCTTCCCACCTCGTTGTGGCTCCTGGATGAATATTAAGTTTATTTCGTGTGGTTAAAGGGTCAGAAGGCACAGCTTTTGGCATCAGACACACCTGATCTGACCCATTGTGTGGGCAAGGGCGGTGACAAAGCCTCTATTCTTTATCAGTAAAACAGGGATTAATGACACAATGTGTTTAAGAGCACCTAGCGCAGGGCCTGGAGAAATACGGGTTTCCTCCCGCTGTTGGTTTATAGAGGCACCTGACAATATGAAGGGTGCTGTCAGTTACCTGGGGAGGAGGGGGTGGTCTCCTCTCCCCTGGACCAGCTACATAATTTGCAGGGCCCAGTGCAAATGAAAATGTGGGACCCTTATGCAAAAAATCCTGAATAATTTTAATAATAAAATCACAAAGCATTCAACCAAGCTGGGGGCTCTGTGCGGCTGCTCAGGTCGCATGCTGGTAAAGCCCGGCCTGGCTGCCCACATCAGAGAAGAAGGGCTTGGGTGGGGAAGGGGTGGGCAAAGTGAAGGTGTCCAAGTGTGGGGGAGGGGCCTGCCTCTGTGAGCGGGGAGATGGTGCCACAGGAAGGAGCAGGCTGGGAGCTAGGACAAGGGCTGAGAGAGGGGGGCCACCAGGACACTTGGCTTTATTGAGCCCCTACTTAATGCAGCCTGCCAGACTCTCCACATGCATCACTGTATTTACTTCTCTCGTCCTCACTGTGAGAAGGGTGTTATTCGCCAACGTTAAAGATGGAACATGTGAGGCCCAGAGAGGAAACATGACTTGTTCAAGGTCACACAGATAGAAAGTGACAGAGCCAGAATGCGAAGGTGGGCCTCTCAGAAGGAAAGTCTCTTTGGCTCCGAATCTGAGATGCTAGGCCAGGCCTTGGGAGCTAGGATGGGAACCCGTCCAGTCAGCCTGTGGAATGAGAGGATGCTCATTATGGTGGGAATGGTCCCGTAGACATGGTGAATGAGACTGTTGATGTGTTGATGGGCTTCATTCATCCCCACCCGGATATGTGTTATTTCTTCTTTATTCTCTTCAAAAATACTCAGGAACTCACTTTGACTTTGCAGCAGTGCTATAGGGAGCTTAGTCTTGCACCAGGCCTGTATTTGGGGCAACTACATTTCCACAAAGGGAATGGGGGCTCCTGAGCACAGTCTAGCCTGCCACCCCCTCCTGGGGGTCCCTCCCCTACTGTCTTTGGAACATCTTCCCCCATCAACATTGTTTTACACACACATACACACACACCACCACCACCACCACCACCACACTCCACACCCACACCCCCGCCATCAAAATGCTGGTTGCCCAAGGAGCCAAGTGAAACGTTTGGAACTGAATGTGAAATAAACCCTGCTTGGGTATCACCGTGTTTCATTTACTATGTCACCAGGCCGGCAAGGAAGGCCTGTGGGAACACAGACTTCTCCAGAATGATGTAGCTGAGCAGGGACATCACCACCCCGCCAACATCCCTAACAGCTCTTGCAAAATGGATATAAGGGGCCCGCAATATTCAGAAAACTGCCTCCAGTCCTCTCCCGCACTCTGCGGACAGAGAAGCCACCCCAGAGGACATCTTACTTTGAATGAATATCCCATTTCGCTCCCTGTGCACCTAAATGATCATCTAAATTATGAGTCCACGCGACCCCGCACCACCCTGTGGGTTATAGCCATTTCCTAAACTCCTCCAGGTTGCAAGGCGATGATGGAATCAGCTTGTTAAAGACCAGGTGGGCCCAAGGGCACACACTTGTGATTTGAATTTTGAATGTTGCTGGGAGAGATGAGGAGATAGGGAGAGTGAGAAGGATTTTCTGTGGGAAGAAACTTTAGCACAAAATTGCATCTGGTGTTAACACAGCTCACTCCTCTGGGCTGCCAGCTCGCCTTGCAGGAGGGCAGGTTAATTCGGTCAAGAAAGCAGTTTCCCTAAGGTGCGTGCAGGATTACCTGGTGCTCAGAGAGAGCCTAGGTTGAGAGACACCCGCGTGTCTCTTTGGTGACCTTCCCAATAGTGCCACCCTCCGCACTGATGGGAACTCTGTCTGAGTAGCCCTGATGGGCAGGGCCACGCCAGCCGCCCTATTCCGAGTCTGGATCTTGAATTCCGCTGAGGTGGAGCTCAGGGAAAAGGGCAGGGGCAAATGAGGGGGACTCGGGTGCCCATCTGGTGCAAGAATCTCCTTCAGAACGAGGCAGCTCATCAGGCCCCGTGGTTTCTGCCAGCGAGGGAGACGCAGGCTGATGGCTCCTCAAACGGAGCCTGGGTTGTCATCTCTGACTCCTGCGGGACCCCGAGGTGCTGGAGAGAAGCCTCGGTGTGCCTTCGGTGGATGGTAGGCAGGTTTCTCGCGGGGTCTCTCAACCAGGGAACTGCCATGACACCATAAGCCTCAGCATTCATGCATTTTTTTATTCTACAAATCTTTATTTGGGTGGAAACGGGGAGACCAATTAGGATGTTATTGCCACAGTCTGAGAAAGAGATAACGAGCTCTGAACCCGGGCAGTGGCAGTCGGGATGAATTTAAGACAGAGTTAGGAGGCCAAATCGGCAAGATTTAATGATTCATTGGCTGTCAGGAGTGAGAAAGAAGGCATCTAAGATGACTCCGGGATGAGCATCTAGCTAGATGAGGGTGCCTCCCATGAGAGCTAGGAGCCCAGGGCAAGAGCAGGGTTAGGGGGCAATGGTGGCAGTCACCTGTGGAACCTCCAGGTATGGTGCCTCGCTCTAGCCTTACCCTCGACCCTCCTGAAGACCTGCCTCCACCTGCCCATCCATCCTCACAGCCCATTTCCTACTGACATTCTGCCTCTTCTTGGCCAGCATGGCTCCTTTATCCCCGCGCCTGGCTTGTTCCCATCCCTAAGGCTCATTCGTGTTTCCTTCTGCTAGGATGCTCTCCCTCCCCCTTCATCATTCTAAACCCTTCCCTTTAGTCAGTATTCTCTGCCCTCTGTGCTCGCTGGGGTGGCCGCCCTGGGATGCTGCCCTTGTGCCTTTGAATCCCCGCATCTCTTCTATGATGCTGAGGTTGTGCAGGGACCCGGGCAGGGGTGTCTCCTCAGAGGAACATGGATGTCTGGTCATTGCCCACCTGCTTCGTCCACCTGCAGCATCGGCTCCATGAGGAGCAGTGATAGCATCCTGGTGAGGGGGAGTCAGACAATAACTGCACAAAGCCTGCTGTCAGGAGGTAGCTGGCAGGTGCAGCAGCACTTGAAATGGCCTCTCTGGTTTTTTGCTTGTTTTCATTTATCTTTATTGTTGAAAGTATTACATATGTCCCCTTTTTTCTCATTGACCCTTCTAGCCCAAACCCACCCCCCACCCCGGCCTTCACCACCCTATTGTCTGTGTCCGTGGGTTATACCTAGTGCATATAAGTACTTTGGCTGATCTCTTCCCACCCACCACCCACCCCTGCCTTCCCTCTGAGATGCCACAGTCTTTGTTCCCAGTGAAGTGCTGGACGCTGGGCGGCAGGCGTATTGCTGCCTGAGGTTTGTACATTGAGACTCTTCCACTCCGCCTTGAAGTAAAAATAATCAGGGCCCCGAACCCGTGTACCTTCATCTTGTGGGGCTGGACGTATCCCCTACTGCCCTTGCTTTGCAAAGAGCCAGGCTTCTTGGAGAAGTTGGGCAAACTGCGTACCATTTCCTCTTAGTTCCGAGACTTAAGATGAAGGTCTCTGCCGTCTCAGCACCTGGCTTTCCGGAGGTGAAGTGTCACGGAGCTGCCTTGAGTGGGAAATGCGTGGGGGAACCTGTGGGAAGACCTCTTGGCCAAATTAGATTTGACATTAACAAGGGCCCAGGAAAAGGCCTGCTTCGATGACCTCCAGTCGCTGCATATTACGGTAAACAGAAAAGTAGTTTGTGACGCACATGCCTTCAGGGCCCCGAGGCCAGGGGCTGCTCCTCCTCGGGATCACAGGAGTGCTGGCAGCGGCGGCACCTCCCGCACCCGTCACCCCCTCAGCTCTTTTGTACGTGGAGGCGTGAACTGCGAGGACAGGTCTTGTTGAAGGAAAGGCCACAGGATAAGAGCTAGTAAATTAAGCGATGGATCTTTCAGAGCAGCTCAGGTCACTGGACATTAAGTTGTTCTCAGAATTCACACACTTGTGAGCCAGGAGACTTTCATAGAGGATCCATTCATTCATTTAAGTATTTGTTAATTCAACAAATACCTATGGAGTGTCCACATGCTGTAAGGTAAGAAGACCACTTAATTCAGGCTCCTGGGGAAGACAGACGGGCCAAAAACTACATGTGGCAGCTTAATAGCTGCCCTTGCTGAGAATCACCGACAGAGGTTTTATACCCTCAGAATGGCCCCACTGCAGGGAGCTGGAGTCTCCAGTGCACCCCTAAAGAGCTGGGGCTCCCAAGGGACAAAGTTGGTCCCCTAGTCGTAGCCAGTGCTTCCATTCCCAGAGAGCTGAAGTGGGCCTCTTACTTTAAGGAAAACTTGTGCACACCCTTTGGGAATGTGATTAAATCATTAATCATACAGCAGCCAAAAGCTGCACACACTGACTCACGGATTGCAGGAATGTGATTAAATCATTAATCATACAGCAGCCAAAAAAAAAGCTGCACACACTGACTCACGGATTGCGACAGTAAGCAGTGAGTTCCTCTCCAGATATGCCTATTTCTTTGAGGTTTTTTAGGCAGCTACCATACAGCATGCCCCCTGTCCTGGGGAGAAGGTTGTTGCCTACAGTGACCTTGCCCAGGCTGGTCAGCAACTGGTTATCTGTGGTCCTGCTCCAGGAACCTGGCTGACCGCTCATCCAAAGCCCAGCTTGCTTCACCTAAAGATCCTAGTTTCTGATTCCAAGGCCCTGGAGGAACCCCTCTTGTCCAGGATTCCAGAGGTAGAAT